GAATAAAAGAGGGAGTGAGGGGGCACTGTGGAAACCCGTACCTGTTTGGCGGCAGTGGTGTCGTCGTTCGAGCTGTTCTTGACGATCTCCCTGTACGTGATCTCGGAGGTCCTCTTCTTCTGCAGCGCCCCAGACAGCCGCATCCACAGCTGGAGAGAGGGAGAGAGATCACAGGGCAGCACGTGCACCACTCCCCTCCTTCGCAGCACGCCACTACATATCACCCGTGCCAGTAACACACTCGTTGGCGCGCGCCCTACAGGGGGCCCCCCCGAGCCCGGCGGTGTCCAGAGTTACCTGCGGCCTCATGCTGTGGGGTATGCCCGCCAGCACCAGCGCTCTCAGCCGGTCCGAGCGGGCCAGGGTGGGGGAGATGTGCTCCCACGTCAGGTCGCCCACCGCGTGGTTGTGGGTGAACTCCAGGTGGGCCTGCCAGCGCAGTCGCTGCTGGGGGTCCTCTACCAGCGGGGTCCCCGAGAGCTGGTCGGGCTGCAGCTCGGTGCCATCTGCTGGACGGAAACGTGCATTACACCTCCGCCAGCCAGGCCTCAACGCGGTCCTGCTGTACAACTCTAGAGCCCGCGCAGGGAGCAGAGGCATAGCCAGGATTTTCCATCTGGGGTGGCAGGAACTCCTGCGCTGGTGGCATTTTAACATAATTTAGGATTATTGCTTCAAGTACCTCAATATTGCTTCGCACTGTTAAAAGCGCCTTAATCCCTAAAAGGAGTCCTACTGCTCTCTGCCTTAAAATGTCTAACTCTTCAGCAGGACTCTCAGCCTCGTATAAGCCAGCTTCCTGGTTTTGAATTCCATTATCAAATTACTCAACGAAAGGGGGACTGATGGCGGATGTCTCGGATCTAGAACCCGGACCAGGGTCTGCTTCGGGAACCCGTCCACACCTCGCCCTGCTCCCCTACCTTCGCTCTCCACCCGGAAGCCAAACTCATCGTACTGGATCTCCAGCTCCTCGGAATCCTTCTGCAAAAACACAGGGACGCAGTGATAAGGAGGGGGGGGGGGGCGATCTCATCCCTGCCTCTCCGGCTTTTCCAGTACCAGCCGTCAAATATTTGTTAACCAAATCCATACGGGGCTCCCTTTGCTTTGTGCCACATCCGTCAAAAAAAGCGCCAAGCTCTCTTGCGACGGATCCCTGACCCCCAGCCCAGAGTAAAAGGGCGTTTTGTCTCGAGCAGGGCCTGCTAGGCATGACGCATTCACCCTGCCTTTGGTTTTCGAGACGCCCCTACTGCAGGGGTACGACTGCCAGCAGACGGATTAGCCCCGCCAGTCGTCGGCCTGTGAACGGCCCCCCTCTGTTCGCTCCGCCGCGTGAGGGCCGCTGACTGGCCATCAGCTACCACAGCCCCTCACTGCTGCCCTGCTGGAACCGAAACAACACGCTGGAGCTACGTCTTCAACCCCGCACTCGCCCAACCACAAAAAACACTACCAACGAAAGAGGAATCGTGAATTTTGTTTTGCTTTGCCTTTAGACCAGGACTGTGGTCTTCTAGGTGGAGAAGATGTGCTCTAGGATACACACCCTTGCTGAAACCAGCTTACTATTAAACTGGGCACAGTGGGGACATCATTTTAAGCCACATCAGCCTTGTGATTTGTGTTATTTATATCGCGTGAATGGGAGGCCTGTATCTGGAAATGCTCGTGTCGATCCTATGCACCAATTTGTTTTTTTTTTATCTAAAATTTAAAACCGCAGATCGGTCTCCGAGTTCAGGACGGCTGATTCCAGACAGGGCGCCCTCATCAACACAGCTCCACACTTTGGGCTCCTGTCCCTCGGGCAGCGGGCCTACCTGGTAGTACTTGGACAGGAGGTCCTGGGGCCACATGCTGGGTGTGAGGGCCGAGAAAGGGCCACCGGGGGTCGGAGTGTAGCTACCTGGAAAAAAACAAAAACATCACACACACACAGAGATGAGAGGAGAAGAAAACCCAGCTTAAAATCCCACCAGGGGCTCTCGTCACAGTCCAGCCCCACACCACGCAGTGCCTGATCGCTTAGTCCTCACTCGGTGCTCACTCTCGAATGAGATGCCACACCTGGACAACAGAAGCCAAGCGCTCAGCCGGCCCCCACCCACAGACACACAGACACACAGACACACAGACACACAGACACACAGACACACAGACACACAGACACACAGACACACAGACACAACTGAACCAGCAGTGGCCCCTAATTCTTTATCCCTCCTCCCACGGGGTCACCTGGGAATGAACCCGCCCCCTCAGTTGTTTTTAGAAGTGCCATCAGCTTCCGGGGGACTTTAAGCATCATTGCAGGACAGAGCTTTCCCCTGTGGACAAGCTGGGGTTTTGTCGTCTGGGTCCGACCCGCAGAACGCAGCCCCTTGCAGACCTGAAGCTCTAGTCTCTCATGTGATGGAAACGGGAGGCCTCACAAGTTACTGGGGACATTTTGCTTTGATCGTGGTTTGGAATGCACTCGTCGGTGCCGATTCCTTTCTCACCCCGAAATCTGATAATTGCCCTGCGGTTCCCCTGCAAGATGGATCATTCGGGACCTCTTCCTCTGTCTGGCCGCCGAGGACAGCGTGTGGCCCAGATTGTTCAAATATCAACAGGTGAGGCCGACTCTTCCTTTCCGTTTCTGTTCACGTCTGCTGGTCTGATTAATTAGCAAGGAGACCTCCAGCTGGAGCTTAATGAGGTGTTAACCCGGGTGAGTGACATTCCCACACCAGTGTGGTCTAGGAGAGCTCAGGGCTGTGTAGCGCTGGTCTAAAACACACCTACCTGACATGCTGGCCTGCGGAGAGGGAGGTGAAGAGGCCCTCGGGGTTCAGCGAGATTTGGGGGTCCAGGGGGGTGCCCGCAGGTTTCTGCAACAAGAGAGTCGCCATAGGAAAGGTGCAAAAGCAGTTTCCCCCCTCCACCACCACCAGAAACTGAGAATCAAAAGGTTTCTCTGGGGACGCAGCAAGTGGGTGACCTTTCTAAAGCAGTGGGGTTCCTGAGGGGTCACCCCACCGAACCCCTCAATCGCTAAACCGAGAACCAGCCGGCACACCCCCGGCGCGGCTCTGCTCGAGATCCGTCTCCTCTAGCGACGAAGAGAGAAAGGTTACCGCCGCGGCGCACGGACTCCCAGTCGCTCACCTGATCTTTCTCGCGGCCGGGCCCAGTAAATAACCCATTGCACGCCACACCTCTCACAGCAGGTACGCACTCGAACGAGTCACGCGGATTCTACTAGAACCCCGAAGGTCCCGGAAAAGGGCGCCTGTCCTTTGTCGAGCAGAGCAGGAGGCTGCCGGGGCTGCGCCTGCGCGATCCGGGCCCTTTCCCTGTCCCGGCTGGCCGACCGGTCCTCCGCCGGAGCTGACAGGACCAGGGGTCCCCTCTCCTCAGGCCCCGGACGGGGCCCGCAGTCCCTACCAGCGCTCCTCCGCCCTCGAGACGCCCCCACTGTCCTCTTTCAGCAGGAGGGCACCGGGGAGGGGCAGCCGAGCAGTGTGGGATTGCGTGCGTGCGTGCGCGGGCACGGTGGACTGGAGGGCCCATCACTCACACACACACAC